TCCATCTCTCCTCTATTCAGTATTCTTTAAGAAAACTTCACAGAATATAAAAGCAGACGAAATTTAGTTCAAATATACCATTAATTCCTAAACCAGTAAATGAGTAAATATGTACTCACTTCCTTTCTTGTAGTTTACGATGTCAGTCTCTGGGAATGTGTGGGTGTCCAATAGTGAATAGTTCCAAATAAAGATGAAATAATTGTTTATTTTTCCATGTTTTCCATTGGTTTCATAACTGGTGTTGGTTCTTTCATGTAAAATTTGAATGTGGTCAACAGTAAATTCAAAATGCTTATTTAATTTGTATTTAGTTATTTCCTACATTTATGTGGTTTAATCAGTTAGACCATGTAGCGAAAGAAAAGCCACCGTGGACCTCATTGGGAATTGTACTGTAATTAATCATCATCCATAACTGTACTTCAAGTTACCATGTCTTTGCGAACTGTGTGCAAATGCAAAAATAGTAAGGTGTATTCTTTGTCAAACATTTTTCTATCAACTTGTGCATTGTTTAACTCTAAAGGAATGCTTCACACTGAATTCATGCCGACGAAAAATTCCAATATGACAGTTGATATACTTCGAAGTTTCGCTAACAAATTTTCTCCCTAGTTGATTCGTGACCATGTTGGTCTACCCACAACAAAATCAACACCAACACGACATTATACCACCGAAAACGTGGCGCAAGAAGACAAGACTGTTGAATTGGAGAGCTTAAACTGTCTCGTATCAACAGCCGGAATGATTGGCAGCGATTGCGTGTATATTTATACTTAAGGATGACAATGAGAGGTACTAATAACAGTGATAAATTAAAACAGTCAACAACCATAGGATTTCAGAGGTCATAAGTGAGGTGGGAGAAAATTAGGTTATAAATCAATAAGTAGGGTGAGAGAAGTAGAAACAGAAATGTTAAAATGACATGTAGAAGATTAGGTCTACATATTTAACTCTCAAAAACCTTGTAGGAGAGGGAGGGTTGCAAAACCTGTTTCTTTCCTCTAAAGATGAGTTACAGAGGTTTAAAAGTCTCCTGCTTTTGATTTAATGATGGTAATATTCTCTGCGAATGAGCTGTTTAGTTCCTGTCGTTAGTTTTGTTAATGAGCACTTCTAAGAAAATAGTTACATTGTTTAAGACATCCCTAATTCGTGAACTGAAATACATGGATTATTTGATTAATCAGATTGAAAGTTTTATTGTTGTTTTGTCAATTAAAGGAATTATGAAAACACATCGCAGAAGTACTGTATTCAACTTTTCGCGGTGAAAAACAAATCCACAAATGACTCTATCCAATAAGTAAATCACTGCTTCAACGAGTAATCCAGATGCCAACGATCGTTTATTTGTTCATTTTGTTTACTACTAGTTCTTGTTCTTAAACTGCGAGTAGGCGACGTCCCAGTGAAATTTATGGCCAAAACGCTAAACGGCAACAATCTTTACTCTCATTTACAGTTATACAAAGATTTATGCAACTTGACAACATGCCTTACTTTTCTTAATGTTGCCAGTACTAAAGTACCAATTCTATTGGTGATGCAACGTCCAAAAATCAAGTGTGGAAGATCAGAAAATCGCAAGTAATTCACATTAGTGCTGCTCACAGCAATTATAACTTGAATAAACTTGTTTGTTGATAGTTTGCAGTGGAATTGACAAAGTTCGTTTAATTCAGTTTAAAACTCATCGTCTGAATATATTTACAAACGAGTTGGCTCTTTGATTAGGCACCTTAACTCAGTGAGTTATCTGGAAACATACTACAGCTCTTCTCCATATATTGTGTAATACATGATTAAGCAGTCAGTACTCTTATGGCTCCACATATTTCATTAATCATCTGATTATTCCTATTTCATTTTGTTTTGGAGGAAAGTTGTGAAGATAAAGTTTGAAAGGTTATCAAAATCTTATAGATGCATAGCAAATAATAATGACTATCGCTAAAATTGCTCGGCAGAATCAAGTCTAATACGTCTTCAATGTTTTCAAGTTCCTTAAAGCCACGGAAACCAAAACACCACTATCAAACAAATAAATCAAGCACCAGATGGAACTTAGTTTACACAAGAAGGTGAACAAAACAAAGCGAATAAGCATATTAGCAGTGCATATCAGCAAAACCAACCACGGAAACTATACTTGCCTTTGAATGACTCATTATAATGTCTAAAGTGATAGCAAAAAATTGTTAATATAGCTGACATTGCTTGGCAAAATCAAAAAAGCGAACGCAGGAAATAATAATGACGAATTTGTGAGGAACAGACTAACCTAATATTAGATCACTCCACAAACCAACGCCAATTATCAAACCAATGAAAACCGCACAGTGATGAATCATGGTGATGATGCTGGTTGCTGGGTGTCGTTATCACCTCCATCTTCACTATGTTCACTTAGAGTCGTGTCTTCGCTGCTTCTTATGCCAATTTGTTGATTATCGCCTGTAGAATTTCGAGATTTTGTGACATCAGGCATAACATGTCTAGGAGGTCCAGATCTCCTACAGTTTTCTTGTCGTATCAGGGTTTTCCTGTTTTTTTCGCTTCAAACTGTCTACTGCATAAACCAGTGCACTACAGCCATGAATTTCACCAGTGATAATAGGCAGTCTTGCCTTACTGAGATGTTCATTTCAAAGGCATCGTTGATCCTTCTTTTGTGAATCCCTTTTCATGTGACATCATCATATAGCTAATGAATGAGGATGACCAACTCTTGAGGCACTCCGTAGCAGTTGAGCAGTTCCTAATTAATTAGCAGTCAACATTGTTCAAGTCTTTTTTATAGTCGATGAGGGTGAGGTTGAAATTCGACTGGCATTCTATGTTCCACTGGATGACGGCATATGTCATCGTACTTTGATCCGTTCATGACCTACTGTTTTCTGAATCTGTCTTGTGGTGGTTGGAGTTTTGCACCTAGAGCATCTTCTTTTTCTCTCTCTCTCTAGGTTTCTGTTGCTTAATATTTTGCTTTGTGCGGACAGGAGCGTATTTCTGCTCCATTCCTTGCAGAGGAATACGCCAGTCCTTTAAAAGGCAGAGTCTTCTAAATATTTTAAACATAAATCTCCGAATGTTTGGCAGACGATTTGATCATGTTAAGTGTAAGGTGATGCTCTGAGAGTGAACTACATCAACTTCTAGCGTTAACTTAAGGAATGAAGTTTAAGGGCATGTTATTTCTTCACTTATTTGGGAAGTTGCATGAGACCCAACCTCCTGATAGCTGATGAAATCTCAGCACGTATTCAAAAGTCTCGTGGGGCATTTTTCAACTTATACCATCTTGGCTTAGTAGCTGTGTTGTTTGGCTGTCAACCAAAGTAAGTGTTTGCTGCACATCAACAGTTAGCTTCGCTCTTTTTCGAAGCTGTTGAATGTGGCCATTGAAAGTGGAACACATGAACAGAATGCCTGTTTTTGATCATAGGGTGTAAATGTGAGGTTAGGATTCGGATGTTAGGTAGGGAGATAATATCCCCTGAAAAGTTTATGAAACTTCATCGACCAAGGTGGCTACGACATGTGTGACGTATGCGTAGGCATAGACTACCTTGACGAGCAATGTTAGCTGACATAAGATCAGGTTGGAAAAAAGCTAGTTGGGCTCTAAACAAAACATGGCGTTAGTCCATGAAATCTCTAACAGTTAGTGTGAGACACTTAGAGAGGTTTAGACCATCTGTTTGGGTTTCTTAGGATTCTAATAACCATTGACTGGAGGCAATAGGTGATATGGCTTAAAATCGTTCTCAGTTGAGTAGATGCATTCATTGTTTGTGATCTACCATATCAATTAAACCCTGTGTACTTTCTCGCTCACATGTCTGTTTATCATCCTTCTTTTGAATCCATTTTTCTCTCATTTGTCTTCCTCTGAATGCCACACTTCTGTAAAACGTCCTGTGTTGAATAAATCAGTCAGTCATTATCATCTAAGTGTTGGTTTGCTGGGATTTGATTAGTTTCAGGATTTCTTCATCAACTGACATTGGTTAGATACCCACTTGAGGACTTGGGGGAACTAGACGGCTGTTTCGTCCTTGTTCGGGACTCTTCACAGTAGGCACACACCAAGGTTCGAATCCAGGATCTTCTGGTTACTAGCCGAGCTCGTATACCACTAAGCCACTGACACGATCTAATCGTCCATGAATTCTAACTTCTGCCACTTCAGAGACAATTAGATTGGGTCTACAATTTCGCCTTGTAAGCAGAAGATCCTGGGTTTGGAACTCAGTGAATACTTACTGATGAAGAGTCCTAGATTAGGACGAAAGAGCAGTCCAGTTCTAACAGGTTTTCTAATGGTCCTCTAACCCATTATCATTTAACTGAACTTTCGACAAAATAGATGTCATCAAATTTTTGTACCTGTGCTCCAAAGTATGACTTTGAACCTGTTTTTATCGACTGGAAATTAATTTCAGATTACTGTTATTTACGTAAGTGAACTTTCTTTAATTTTTGGATTATTTGGTAAAGCCATGCAATATCATTTTCTCCCTGTACAAATTATTAACGCATGATCATATCTGTAGTTATCATTTTATTTCTATTTCACCTACCCGGCTAACTCTATGTCATACTTTGGTTTTATATTAGGTGAGAGGGATTTATTGGGGAATTTGTATTTTGCTGATGGATTTCTTATAAATTAGGGTTAAAATCTACGGTTGCAGATCAATAAGAGCTTGCTAACTTTTTCAGTTATTACATCTGGCTACTTATAAATAAAACAACGGTAACTGTTAATTGAATGCAAATTTTACCAGTTTTGAAGAATCTTTGAATTTATAATGCATCAAAATTCAATTTTTATTTATATTATTACACCCATCCATTTAACCACTTGTTGTACATTTGAATGTTAGGTCGCTTTTCTTTCAAGTAGGTAGAGAGATATGCAAAAGATGCTGTGGAAAAATTACATATGCAATACTTCTAAGGCTATTCACCAAATATGGTGAAAACATATCATATACAATGTATTACAGTGAAGATATAGTTTACAAAAGTGAAATGCAAACGAATATAAGGGAAACCACGACGCCCAAAACAACGACAACGGTAACGACGAGAGAGACAATAAAGAAGAAGAAGAGATGACATTCTATGAAATGTCAGTCTCCTACATTACATAAGTTGATTCAATTGGTTCTTCATCATTCCAGTTTTATGGAGAATTGGGTCTCGTGGCTGTTATTTTATTTTGAGGTTTGACAAAATTCATTACTTCATATTGAAGTACACTTATTGATAGAAAAAAAATGTTTATTGCATGTAAAAATTAGTGCGCTATATAAGCAAACACTTTTTTCCATGACTGTTACTGATAAGATAATATTACATTTATCGTCTGCTTTACTCACTGAGTTGTTATCGTTATACTGTTCTGAGAGAAATAAAAATGTGTTTAACAATTTTAGGCAGATAGACTGAGAAAAGGTCAAAAAGTTAAATGTAACAGAACCAAAAGGAAAGGCATATAAAACATAACTGTGACACTATGTTCTGTTCTAAGCTCTTCTCTTCTCTTCTTTTATTTCTTGGTTTAAAAGTCTTTAAACTCATTTTCACAATAATTCGTATTGGATATCCTCAAGGGTTCTTCTTCGTAATCATCAAAATTACTTGAATCCCCAGGTCCTTTACTTGGTGGTAGGAATGGAGCATTTAGCTATAAAATAGGGCAAAAAAGCAGTTCGACAGATCACATTAAAAGAGATAATATGAGAAAATAAGTATTAACAATACTTTTAGCTGCTGTGACATAATAGGTGAGTTTATTAGGTTTTACGTGTATCATGTATCAATAGATATATATTAAATTAGTAGAAATCCACATGATGTATAGTGCCGAATGACCTGAGTGTTTAGGAATTTATGATTGACATCAACATACACACACATCAATCAGAGGTGACAGTTAGCTCATTCGAGCTGATGTAAAGATAAGGGGACCGTTTTGGCCGTTTGCAGTCTAACTGTTCTGTAGTCTAATACAAACTGTGTATTTTTCAAATGACTGATTTCATTCTGAGCGCCTACATTTGAGATGGTTTCAACGTATTTGAATCTTTGAACTGAGTCAAGTCTAACTGATGAGGAGTCCCAAGCTAGAACGAAACAGCTGTAAAGTGCTTCCATGTTTTTCATTGACTCTCTGTTCGACGTCAGCTCGTGATGAAATCTAGCAACCAATCCAATCATAGCTGTTGGCAAGCTTGAAATCGGGAGTCTAGATTGCCATAATCTGGTTAGCGGTCAATGGTTTTCAACGAATAATGTAGAACATTCAATGTAACAGGAAGTTTTGCTCTCCTGAAACTATTTGTGCAGTCGACAAGCTACAGATATTATGCAACATACTACTGAATGATTGAGATGAGTAGTTGTATACCACTCATATAAACCAGTAGTAGTGCTTGCTAGCCAGATCAAAGTGATCTAATTACCAGACGGCTGTTTCGAACGTTTGGGGCCGATCTCATCAGCAGTTTACCCGATTTGACTCAGCTCTTTGAGTTCAATCAGTTCCAACCACCCGATTTCATGTGAGTTGTACTCAGGTACTCATCTAGAACAATCAGTAGTATATAGCATTGTGCATTTATACTTGCTTTCTGCATCGGCATTGATGGTATCAAACAGATTTGAATAATCTCGGTTTCCAAAGAAAACTATGGTCGAAGTGTGTGAACTGCTCATTCATTAGCGAAACTGACAAATAATTTGCAAATTTTGAATTTTTTTACACATTGTGCTCAGGAAATTGAAGATTTTCTAAGTAATCTGTCTTTTGTACTGAATATATGATGTATTACTCATTACATTTTAAGTGGTCATTTATTATGAACTACAGTAAGATAATATATTAAATAAACATTATAAACTCCTCAGTCTCTGCCTGCATGTTTCAGCTGTGTAATTCATTCTGATATATAAACTCATGATTCGTCACTGAACACTCGGTTTGTGTACTCCTAACAACTTCTAGATATCTGAAAAGAGTATTTTAGATTTATGTTATGACTCAACTGTTTCATTTTCAATTATCCTCCGAATTTAATTAACATAAATCTATGACACATTCCATTATACTGCCAAATATTTTTATTGCATAAAATATAGAAGTAATAGACTAAGAATAAAGAGAACTTTGCGGATCGAGGTATAAGATAGAAAGAAGGGGAAGTTCTGTTTGTATTCGTTTACAGGAAGTCATCACTATTCTGGTTAGTGGTCATGACCCATTTTGAAATCAGCTACATCCCTATGAATTAAAAATTGAACATTAATGCAGTTCTCATTAGTGACTGTCTAAAGGATGGACTTTCTGGAGTTCTAGTGATAAGTCATGACCAGTGGATTCCACCAAGTCAGGTGTGATGAGAGATACTCACTGATAAGATTGGTTGACGGTGTTGCTATGTATTCGGAATGGAGAGAAGTTAGAATTCAAGGGTCATCATAGCCGCCTAGTAATCTGAAAGTCCACGGTTTGATCCAGGATGAAGTAGCTGGAGTGTGCTGCTGGAGTTACCAAAATGAGGGTAGAACAGCTCTCTAGTATTCCATGGTCTACAGTAGTTCATGTGAGTTCTTGGTTTAACTCAAAACTAGTCTGTTTATTTCTCATGTTATCATTTCACAAAGAATTCATCAGTAGTATGATGACTGCACACGAGGATATGAATAATTTCTTACACAATTTACGTGTTGTTCATTATGAGATTCATGTTAACATAAGGAGGGTTAAATGTTCAGTGAAGCTAAAACTAAGCCTATATTATTCACCACTTAAAATTTTGGAAGAAAATACTTCTGAAGAACACTTTTCGATAACTGCTTTTCTGAAAGATTGTAATAAGAAGCGGCTAGAACTTCTAACCAATATTTTAAACCAGTTGCTTCAGAATTCATCGTGTGGATAGAGTGACCTTTGGCCTGACTATAAAATTTCATCATTTTTTAACCTTATCTTTTTGGCCAAGTGATTAGATTTGTTTATCTATGGCTTAAATTCCAGAGGTTTTGTAAATTATATACGCCAAATATTTTGTCTAATAAATGATCATTTTAGCAATCCTGTGTGTCGTCATCTTCGCTTTCGTTATCTGTATCCTAATGTAACAACAGAAGGCAAGAGTCAGGCAACAGATCATTTATTAAGGACATCAACGCATATTTATATATTTTCATGTACATTACTATGGATATTTAAACAAACAAACACAGTCTCCCGATTGGTTGTTTCTCACATAAAGTTAATCTTTCATCTATTTGTGACTGTTTCTTGAATGTCAAATCCTCTATATGTCAACTGCATCCGCCTACGCACAGTCTGCTGTGGTCGGTTTTGAATCAATCTTTGTTCACATTTTCTCACGACAAATCTTGGGAACGTAAATATTGACGTAAATTACTGTCTACCAATTTGGCTAGTAGACAGCTCTCACCACACTAACAGTCACAGGTCAGTCTTCGTCTTTTGGTGTTTACTTGGCTCAGCGGAATGGAAGGTACTAACGAAGAATAACCGTATCTAGCATACCACTTGAGTTGTCCATTGCGATCAGTGTTATTATACCCACGTTTAAGTCCATTCGGTCAAATCACATGTCAACCAGATTGGAAATAGATTGGAAACAGGTTGATATGAGATAGCAACAAATTCTCTAATGAAATTACTCGGCAAATAAAATTGAAGCTCATCATGGAATTCCATACCGTATAAATTCATTAGATACTACAAACAGTGATACAGTATTAATACCTGGATGACGTTTGCAGTACAATTTATCGCTCATAATCATATCAGTGTACCTACAAAACGTCTAACTACGTTTACTTAGTTGATTTCTCCCTATTGTTTTGGTGTTGCATCATTTCTATTAAATGTGTTCAGTTTGCAGCTAATGAACAAAGATTCAATGATTCACCTCCTTCTCTATTATTTTTGATTAATTTTACCCTCTTCCACTCTGTTATATGTCCGCATGCAAGTGCATGTATAACAATGGCCGAGCCTTTTACGAGACTAGTCATTCTAAATTTAACTAAATTCCGATGTTCCGATAAGTTAACACATCCATATCTCCTAGTTTAACCTATGCACTTGACCTCGCAGTCTTTATGTGGTGCTTGACGCATCGTACTATTTTGCGTAATTAGCTTCATTGGATCCTTATATAAGATAAAATAATAGAATTTGCCAAATACCACGTGAGGTCACTTACGTAGATCAAACTAGTATATCGGTGTCCTTCAGGTTATAATTGCATTTAGAAAGGAAACTGGTAGAATATTTTAACTGGAAATCAATAATTAATGAAATCAGTAGTTTACCTCTTTTCGATAAGTTGTAACCCAATTAGTTGGTCGAAACCATTTATGACATTTGATATCATCAACACCATTTTTTAAATTACCAAAACGTTTTGTTAAATCAGTTTGTAAGAGTTGCTTGAGAAGATTGCGTAGATCAGGACTGACATGTCCAGGGAATCGAACCTTATAAAAAGTAAAAATAAATTAGCGGATTTTGAAAATAAGGTACAGCTGAAAGCAAAAGCATAATCATTAGCTAATACAGTTTTTCTTCTGAATAACCAAATTTATTCATCAGTATATGATGTTGGTAATTGAATGCAGGAGGGCTGACTGGTAGCTCAGAAGATCCGGACTCAACCCCTTGCCGATGCACTTCTAATTCCTGCCTAGTTCACTAGCCGGTAATAACACAATAAAAGAGGAAAGGTTGAGCTAGCATCCACACCTGGTAAAAACAACACCGCTGCTACTGAAACTTGGCAGCTTGAAACGCTATGTTCCACTCAGAAGGCAAGGAATGAAACAGAAAAAATAACCAAGGTATATTGCCTGTGATAAAGACCCCTGTAGTGTTTGACAGTAAATTTATATATGTGCCAGTTTAATTCTGCGATACCTAGATCATAATAAGAACAGTAATGTATTACACTCTTATGACTCCGATGATCATTTAGCACACTGCCTTCGCATTATCTCATGAGTATAAAATCTAAGTAAGAAAATATTGCCTTTTAAATTATCTAAGTATTTAGAAGGTGATTAATCCACCAAGTTGCAGTGACTGTTCTGCTCTCTGAAAGTCATTATTTTCTCACAAGAAAGAATTGGAACTGCATGTTTGTACTGTCAGACTCATCTGAAACAGTGATCTAGTGAGTAGCGCTTTTGCGTTTCCAGTGATAGGTGCTGCATTCGACTATGAAATGGGATGTCATTCATCAGTTAACCAGAACGCAGGTTTATCCAACTGAACACTCTCAAGTAGAATGTAACCCTCATCAAGAATTCTGCTACCAGTTATTACCAAACAAGCATTACCCAATAGTAGTTAATGATTGTTTATTGAGGCGTAAACTACAAAACTAATGCTTAAATATCTAGTTATTAATTGTTAATTGATGAAATTATTAAAACAGATTCATGTAAGTCACCCTTAGTCTTTGATATTAATCAGCATAGTTTATCAGTAGATGTTAATTTTGTCTCAAAATCATATGGCTGTATTCTGCTATCTAGCCATAAGTTGTATTTTGAAAAATAAAAACAAATTCGTTAACAACTTGTTTTCAATTTAAAGAAACTTATTTATTCAATTTAGGAGTTCAGTCGATATACCTAGCTTCACAGATTTCAATAATCCAAACTAAAGACCATCATACTTTTTATAATATAAACTGGAACAAAAAAATGTTCTATTTCACTTATTTATTCTTGTCAGTGAACATAACCGATATAAAAAACTATTTATTCAGCATCTATTAAAACAATATTTGGTGTTAACATTTAAATTTAGGAAAAGTTAATTGTTTTATTCAACAAATCAGATTATGATACATCGATGTATTATAAAACATAGAATATTGAACATGATACATTGAACATTGAAACCCACTTCTCTTTCGCCGCCTATTTAACTGTTTTAACAACAAAACAACGAATAAAAAGAAACACAGTTGCAAGGCAGATTCTAACACCACTGCTATATGTATAAAGAACATTACATATATCCTTTTACCTTATATAAGTGGACATTGGCACCGTTTATGGTATTATTTATTATTCGTGGTCATATGACCGAAGTGTATGAATGAATTTTTTTTATTTAAAAAAGCAGAAATAATGTGAAAAGATAAATTAATTTCAGTTGATAATGCAAGTTCTATGTACAATTATAAATGCTGATACTTTTTTTTAATACGAAGAAACTGATATACCACTTAGAGAAAAATAGAAGCAAGTCATTTCTGAGTTTCTTCTGCCTTTTTATTATTTTGAACGCCTCCGAATTGTGCACACTATGATCAGTGTCCAATATCTGGTGTGCAATCGTACTGTTTAATGCTTGTGAGCCCTTTAGTCTCAGGTCCTTTAGTGTATATTCAGAAACGCGGACAATGAGCCTTCCATCTGTTCTTTTAACGTATTTGTTTTATATATTTTTTTATTTTGGTTACAGCTTCATGCCACACCGTATTTTCTGTACAAGTATGGAATTTTCAGCATGGATATCGGTAGCCCAAATTCAGGCCGACCATAGATATCGGGTGTGCGTCGGCAGGGGATCGAACCCTGGACCATGTGCATGGTCGGCGAGAGTCCTTACCACTGTGCCACCGACTCACATGTACATGTAAACTGACAGACACAGAATTAGCATGAAGTGGGAGTTTGTCCACTTTTAGTTGTCTTGGACAACTGGTCTGTATTCATACAAATCCAAAATCTAAAATGTTACTATATTATTCACGTCATAATTATTTTCCTTTATAAAAACTCCTGACTAAGTATACAGTGAATCAGCTTTCTTAACAAGGCATACTCAAGGTGAAGACCTTTCTAAAGGAAGACGAAGACATGGTGAACAAAGAAAGCACCAGGATATCTATGACCACAGCTATGACATTTGTCACTTTAATAATAAAATTTAATTTTTATCCAATTTCTATAATTTAATTTATTCTTCCTTTTCTAAGTATAACCTGAAGATAGCAGTTATTTCTGAAAGCACTTCATGATTGAACAAAACCACATGCTTAAACTCTTAGTCAGCTTATCACAATTTATTTTCACTAAACTGGAAAATAGGTATTTTCAATGTTAAAAATGACATTTAAATGAAATTCGGTGTGTTGAAAGTTCTCAATTTCGAAATGTTAAACCTTTCTTTTTGTTTACGTACATTCATAAGTCAAAAATATTTTATAATGTCTACATTTGAAGATCTACAGTCTGAAACATAGACCTGATACTGTGCTACTCACTAGAGACTTTTGTTTTTTCTTTCTCCATCAGACTGCTAAACATGAAGTATATCACTGAATTAGTGAAATTCATACTGTATTTTTCGTCACACCAGTTAAAACAACCGTATTGGTGTGCATCGGTCCCATGGAAGGACTTCTTTGTATCTTTCTACTAGCCTATGTAATTTCAGTGACTAATTATTACTTGTCCATTAGAGTGCCAAATAAAAACTGTATGCTTTCACGTACACAATTAGCCAGGGACATTTTTATTTCTACATTATTCATTTAGTAATGATAGTCGTAAATGTAAAGTAGCACAACCCAAACAGACAGCCCACCACATGACATTGAGCAACTAATCAGGTAGTTGTCTTTTCAAAAATCCATTCTATTCACTTTATTCTTGAGTTAACTTCTTATTCAATCCTGATTCTATCTAAGTTACAGTTGGATTTTGGGACTGACTTATGATTAGAGTTTAGGTAGGCATTACACTCACCGTTATTAGTGTATCATTATAATACGCTTATCCTGACTTATTACTGAAGATCATTTGGTAGGCTGTTCACTTGGGCTGTGATACCATATGCTCATTCATATAGTTATGATGATGTAAAAGTCGGAATTCCATTGTCGTAGATGACATTCATATTAGGATATAGGCACATTCATTTGAAAAAATATTGATATGGTGTATACTTAACCAAAGTCCTCTAGGACTTTAATTTTAACTATTAAAGCATCTAGAGAATAAGAAGAGAAATGATTGAGTTTGTCATTTATTTGGAAAGTGACATCAACCTCAGTGGACTAACTGCTCAACCTAATCTCAACACAGATGCAAAAGGTTATTTTGACATTTATCAACTTGAGTCTTTTTTGATGTAAACGTGATATCTAGCCACTGATCCATCTTTGTAGAATGGATGTGAGACTTGGCTGTTCAAAGTTTCTTTTGTATTCCTTAACGTCCCCAGTACGAAATAGGACTTCAAGCTAGAGGCTTCAAGTTTCTGTAGCAGTGGTGATTATTTTTACATGCTGTGGTTGCTAGCCTCATGCTTAACCTTCCCTCCTCGCCAGTCTTACTACTGGCTTAGCGAGGTAAAAGAGTGTGTCGGCTGAGTGACTGAATCTCAGATGGTCAACAGATTCCACCAAGATGAGTTATCAAACGGCTATTCTGAATCCTTCCTTTTATAATTACTACTATTTTGATAACATCTATCATGTCTCTCCTTCACTTCGTTTAAATATATGTCGCAGCATCATTGTATCAGTCTTTTGAATTAACATTTTGCTCTACGGAAAGCTATTAAATTGTCAATCGTTCATTGTTGTTAACTGCATCGAGTAGATATTCAGCTATCACAAGTATTGTGTGTTATATTATTCAGATTAAAATATATTTGTACAGTTACTTTAGGTTCATCCGATTGCTTAATGGTCATGACTTGCATCTCAAAACGGTTAAATGTTGTCAAATATGATTATGAAGAGGAGTGGTACTAAATAGAGGCATGAACTCTTCATGGTGTGACTAAAATTTCGCAGACATCTTTCAACAAACAAATGAAGTTAGTAAGAGTACCATGAGTTACAATTTGTCTTTATCTATGCTTATTGTCAAGATGTGACAAGAGAATCAGTGTTTACTTAGCGGAGTTATTCTTCTTGTCATCAAGTTTCGTAATCAGGCACCTCACAGCAGAGCAATCTATCACACAAATCATTGAGTACCGTGAATAATTAACTGAATGACAGTTAACATAATGTCATTTGATGACTTATGTTTAGAAATCAAGTTCATACTATAGGTCTGACTTTTTCTAGAAAGCATATGAAAAATTGCATAATTTTATTTCACAGCAAATTAAGTACTAACATCTTTTAGTGCAGCTGTTAATTTACAGCATCTAGTACAAAACAACACCACACTAGTTAATTTCCATCTGTTGAAAGTAAATTTGACCCAAAAACTTAAACACTTAATTTCCAGCCGGCGATTCTGGGTTAAAACCTCACTCCACCTACTTCATCCTGGGAAACTGTCTAGTATTATCAACCCTCAAACTATAAGTGTGTGTGTGGCTCATTGCCTATTACTATTGTCCAGCTGGGTTCCAAGTGGGACATAGGGCATCAACAGCACATCTCCACTTCGTCCTATTCTCTGCGGTCCCTTTTAGCTGGCCTCACGATTGCCTACAGTCTGTCGTCTTCTCTCTCATGATCTCCTCCATGTCACTCTTGACACCAAATCCAACTCACTGTTTTCCACTTGGGTCCCACTTTAGAGGTCGTCTAGTGCGCAATGTCATTTGAAGGTCTCCTCAGCGTGTCTTCAATCCATCTTCATTTTATTCCACATATTTTTTGAGCAACAGGTTCTTGATTGGTTCGTTTCCGAAGTTTGTTGTTACTGATTCTTCCTTACCGTCCATCTGACGTGTGGTATCAAGCCTAGGTAGCTATTGATAGAAGTGTGCAGTATTCTGTTGAGAATGCTTTACTTGACGAGCCAAGTTTCTGGCCCATGTAGAAGAAGTGACTTGACACTAGTTTTAAAAATCCGAATCTTTTTGTTTATACTGAGTGCAGAAGATTTCCAAACTGACATCATAGTGGGGAAGGTCTTTCTCGCCTTTCCGATCCAACCTGGCTTTGACATTCTCATCCGTTCTACCACCTGTAGTTGAAACGATGCTGTCTATATAAGTGAAGGAACTGACGTTTTCCATCATCTTCGTCTTCTCTATGTTCACTTGAAATCCTGTATCCGGTACTTCTTCTGCTAGTTGGTTAGCTTTTGCCTGTAAATCTTCTAGTGTATGTGCTATTAGACATATATGATCCGTGAAATCCATATCTTCTAGAGTCTTCTAATCAGTCCAACGTATTTCTATCTTCTCGCTCACGATGCAGTCTTCCTCACAATCCAGTCAACCACTGCTGGGAATATCATCGGTGATAGTGGGCTCCCTAGTCTCACTCCTGTATTTCCTCCAAAGGTTTCTCTGAGGCTGATCGTTCGGTACCTGCTAAACGAGCTCTAACCAACTCAGCATTCGTCTTAAATAATTATTATCTGGTTATTTTCAAGTAGGCGTATCGGTTGTTTAGCTGCAGAATGCTCGCCAACCACGTAAGTGGTGGGGGTCTCGATCCCCAGCCGACGCACTCCTAAATCTCACTTAGCCCATAGTAAGCCCGGTAAAGAAAGAAGGTTCTGCGCGAGGCTGGAAATCTCATCTCGTAAGAATATAATACCATTGTTACTGAAACTTCAAAGCTGAAGCTTGAAGCCTTATTTTCTATTCAGAACGCAAAGAAATCAAGTGAATGATTTAAATAAAACAATGATATTTTCAAATACAGTCTGTTTTAGGATTTGTCCTACTCCTGTGAACTGACCACTCAGTTGTTTGTTTCTCACTATTTCACATTCAGGTTATAATAAATAGATGAAAGCGTTTTTATTCTTATTTAACAGTCACTGCAAAAAGAAGGAGTGGCAATAAGGAGAACCATTATACATACAGAAATAGACTTACTTTACCAGAAACTATTTTCTCATAAATCTGAATTGGTTGATCAGCAAAAAACGGCGGATAACCACAAGCCATTTCATAGACTAAAATACCTAATGCCCACCAATCCACTGCTTTATTGTAACCCTATCAGCGGATTGATTGATTTTTGTCCAAAAAAGTTATGTGGCATGGGGGCAGATAGAAAATTTAAAAGATTATGTTTATTTTTTTTGCTTAAGGTAAATAGAATAAATAGAAATGTCTTAAAGTGAAAAAAACAACATTCCACATTGAATCAAATAAATTTCTCTTTTTTCAAAGAAAAAGGTTAAACAGAACATAATCATCTTTTTGGTCAAGTGTTGTGTTGTTATTTGTCTCCTTTTGTTCAGCTTCTTTTCGCTGAAATCGCAATCAATTTCCCACTTCATTTGAACACAGTCAATTGTTTACATTAATCACTGAAGTATCAAGAGAAGAAAATTTTAACTTCAAAGAACTACTTGGTTTCACTGATTTAATTATAGCTAATCTTGAGGGATGTTTAGTTTTCATTTGGCACGCTTGTTGTTTTAAATGTGAATTAATAGGCTAGCAGATTAAGTATTTTACTTTAGAGTTCAGCATAAGCTGAAATACTAGTTAGAGAATTATTGGAAACCAATGAGCACTGGATGATAATTGTTCGAAGTCTCCAGCAGTAGGATTATATGTGATCGAAAAATTGTTTGGAGAATTTCTCCTGACCTTATCGAACTGTTTAAACTTAATCGAACCTTTCAACTAACTTTTTAACTCTTATCCGTCTTTCTCTTAGACTGCATATCATTATTTTAACATTGGCATATCACACGTTGATATGATCCATATTATTTATCTTTGTTCCTGTTTAATCTCTAATTTCAATGCTTCTCTTTGTGGTTGCACATGCATTCATAATGTGTTGAACGATGTAATCTTGTTTGAGTGGATGAAGGTTATCTGTCACCTCGAGCTATCGGCAGGAAGCATTGGTGTGTGAATCTTGTGGACATGGCTTTCGATCCCACCTTGAGGGGAACATTCTAATTGATTCTCAGTGCTCGTTTTTTACTCAGATTGGACGGTTTAGCTGACTGCTCGCACTGCTGAGGTAATTCCGAGTTTTTATGCCATTATTGCTCAATAGAACCACAGAACTATTCTAGAATAAGCGTCTTTTTCCTGATTACACGTGTCTCAAAAAAGTTTAACCAGCTATACGGTAGAACGCACAGATAGGTTTTTTTTGCGTTCAAACTATAACGAGTCGGTTGTGGTCGCTACATAATGAGTAAGCACTGATAAGGAGTCCCAAACTAGAACAGCGCTTCTACGTTCCCAGTAATTCTCCATCTAATATTAATCCAAGACAAAATCAATGTTGAAATTAATCAAAATGCCTAGAAAGGAGAAAATGTGAGTAAAGTACTGTATTGAGGATGATAAGCTCAGTTCAGAATCTGTCAAAGGAAAATCATGAGTATGAATCAATTGCTTTAAATCATGCCCTTTGATAGTACTATGGTCCATTTTGCCCAGTGTCCAAATAGGATAACGCTTTGCAATTTAAAATAAATGGTACTGGATTCAAGTTTCAACGAGAACACCATCACTCCTCACCAGGGGTACTGACAAATGTAGTTGACAAGTCCGAAAGAGGATGAAACGCACTCGCTTGATCTCACTACTATTCACAATAAACAATGTAGAAACGTTTGCTAACCAGACACACTAAAAGCGAAAAATATGGTTTGTCACCTTGTTTAATTTAACTTTTCCATATATATTGACTTGACAAGTAAATGTGTGATCAGATTGTTCGAAATGTATAGCGCTAATACATCACATTTTTCAGATAATCTCCGTCTTCTAAATATGGTTAGTTCCTTTCTTATTTAGTTACTGTTGTAATGCGTCAAGATAAGAGACTTGGTAACGGAATGCTTACTAGCAGTTTGGCATACATATTTAGCGAAATTATGTGTATCTTATATTCAAATCGTCATTTGCATCGTCGGTTTTTATTCTACTTCTGTCATTCATATTGTGTTGTTTCGTCTTCTTTTCGTGTCTTCCCTTTCTTTGTCACAATGCTAGTTCTTTTTCTCTCTTCGACGTCAAATCTATCTCTTCGCTATTTGATATGTTTGTGCCGATGATCATCAAATTATATACTGCTGATACATTTTGTCAATAGTACACCACACCATGATCACTGACCAGATATTTTAGTCGAACACCTTCCTCAAAATAATTTATCTTATTATTTCAGCCGTTTTTTAAAGTGCTTCATTATCGAAAAGTTTGCCAAATAACAGTCCGTTTTAGCTTCTCATTTTGTCGATAGACAACATTAGGATTACTTAAAAATGAGTAAACGACATACTTTATTGAAAGATCTTTTTCATAAAGAACTAGACATCTCATCAGATATTTGAGTTATTTAGGAAGTCTCTGTGTGAAACATTAGGTGCATAAGGCACATCTTCCAAAGATCTTAAATATACCTACAGTTCTATTGTTTCTTTGTACATCTTAAAAGTTATACTCACTTTGCTTAAGATTATTTCAGGCGCAAGATATTCTGGTGTTCCACACAATGTCCATGTACGACCTTTTATTTTTTTAGCGAAACCAAAATCAGTAACCTAAAAAATATAGAAGAAAAAGTGGTATTCAATCAGCATGAGTTGATCGACAATACATCTACAATACCGAAAGATGATTACTTTTGTGTAGTATTTTAAAAAACACACTACTTAACTACTTGTGTGAGAGATTTGTTTGATTTCAAAGCTCCTGTTGTCCACTCGCTGGACAACATCTTCAGTGCTTACTTCAGTGTGTGGAGTAAGCTTTTGGAATTCTCCATGAACAAAATATTTGTCTATTCTAGGTAAATTTCGGTGTGGTTGGTTGTTCCCATGGATTTCCTTATTATTGCATTCCCTTATGTTGGTGTCTAGTATTTTGTAGACCTTGTATTTGATCTTTACATGAAGTGGGTTATATCCACGGAGAATTCGCAAAGCTCACTCCACACATTGAAGTTAGCGCCGAAGGTATTATTGTCCAGAATGATAATTAAAGCTGCGTAGTTTCGCTGTGTAGTTCAGAGAATACAAAAACATGCATCTCAGCTAAAAATCTTCTTCACTGTTTTAAAGTTTGTTTGTTGAAAAGGAAATTCACGCTTCACACTCAAAATACCCAAGCATGATGACACAAAATAATTCAACGCTTCCAGCGACAATTAGATCATATTCATGTGGTGATGAGAATCTGTAAGAAAAAGATGACTACTGAAACAATTTAGTTTTCATTGATAGTGAACAACTGCCTTCGGCCAGAAAGCGTAAATAACAAGGAACTATGGGAATAAATTAGCTGATAATCTACTGTTAAAAAAACATTCCGAAGAGAACGCAGATGGATAGGTTACACGCTTAGAAGATCGTTGAGTGGTTTTATGCTCCAGGATTTCTCTCAATTGGAACCTGAACGGAAAATGACGAACTAAGTGTTGATCGAAGAGTGGTATGCAGAAGATCATGTGAGCTGGAGAAGAGAGCTAATGGGTAATAGTAGGGCCAGCTTAAAATGACATCCGAGAAAAGAATGAAGTAGGTATGTGTTGTTGGAGCCGAACTTTCCAATCGGAACAGAAGGGAATACTAACGATAAAATAGTAATAAATAATTTGTTCGCAAAAAAGCGGAGACTTGAAGTCGCTATCTAAGTAAATGTCATCGCTGATAGTATAACGGACTATAAGTGGCGGAACCTTTTGCACAAACTTCTCATTATACTTTTTGTATTATCAGTATGTAGATAAGCCGGCGACACTATGTAATGAAAATTACTACATCACTATGTGACGATTAAATTGAATATACGTTTATATACCCAAAACAGCTAGAGACGTTGTTAGCGGCTAAAATAACGTCTCATAAATATCTATACACAGTTAAGTTAGTTGGCTTCCTGACATATTTTTCACTTTGATGGAAATTTTCACTATAAATTCGAAATGTTAGTTGAATAAATAAACACTGAATCCAAGAAAACAACTTCATGTAAGCATCTAAATTCTAGGTTAGATGTATTCATCTAGGTGACATGGATGGACAGATGGGCAGAACGAAATCACAATTAACGGACGACTATACTGCTGGTATATGAAACAAGTTAAGTTTTCTGATAAACCGTTATCATTTCTAGTGGAATACAATAAACCCGAAACATGCTGTTGTAAGCTTTTAATGAGCTGATCTCCTTTGAGTACCTTGGTCATATATATGTCCTGTAGAGATCGTAAAAGAAACTTTTTCCGCTATTATTTGTCGTTACGAAGATGAAATTACGAAGATGTGTTTTGCATGCGTTGAAATTTAATCCACTTATATTATGACTTACAATTAAGAGAACTGCCTACTAAGCAACAATAATAACAACAGCTTTATTCTGAGAAGTTCGTCTTGGACATAGTACAGAACTGCAAAATTTTTACTTCTTGTGTTATTTTCATGTGATATATTAATCAAGAGTGCGTCGCTTGGAGGAATACTGTCCCATCCTAATTACAGAGTTTTCTTCCCATTTCGAAAAATTCGCATCATTACATTAAAACCTTTTTGATGATGTGCGCGAGAGTACTTTAGGATCATGGATGCAGTTGGATAGTAAAAATCGATGAACTTTTGTGGATGGAAAGAATTCGGTGGTCCGGTGATTCGGGCAGACCACCAGATTCACTGTGTTAGCTGATGCAGGATTGAATTCAAACGAGGAGTTAGGCGTAGTCAAACTAAACATGACACCTACACATGCTATTTTTGGCTGTTACTTTGAGCCACCTAAGGAGATGTCTATTGCCTGTCTGGCTGAGGTCATCAAGATTTTAAGAACCAGTGGTTGGATACGTGTTGATATGGCTTCAAAGAGTTCTGAATAGTGTAGATGAATTCACTCTTCGTGGTTTTCCAAATCCATTAAATCCCGAATTATCCTGAATGTGGTTATTCCTTCTCCCATTTATTTCCGTTTGTTATAGTTTATTTTCATCATTTTTCTAACTTAATATATGCTTTATGAAGTGTAGTGACTTAAACTGTTGCATTTTTTTTGAAAGTCCAATGTTGAAAATTCAGTCAGACTGGATAAATTTAGGAACACGATATGTGATCTATTTGAAATCATAAATAGCATAAATGGATTGTTTCAACTGGCGTGACTCTCTGAGTTGAGTTCATACCAAGTGCACCATTGACGAGCTAGACCTCCGACGCACTATACGATCGTCCCGTGTTTAGATCACTTCGATCTGGCTACGAAGCATCACTAGTTGATGCGAGTGTTATCCGACCATTTTTGTCAATCAGTCAATAGTATATGCCATCATGGATAAATCCAACTAGATATAAAGTTTTCGGTTGAGGATTAACATGACAATAATAAGTTTCAAAATATTATCTTAGACATTAGCGTTTCTCGTCTATGCATTTGTAACCACTTGTAGATATTTCCAAATATATTACAATTACACCTTTGTTTTCCTTTTTATTTTGGTATTTTTGTTATTTTCAATAGTTTCATTAGTTCATTTGTCAAACTCAGTGATCAACAAAAATCTGGAAAACGATAACAACATTCAAAAAATATACACAAACTGATCACTGGCTAACAACCAACAAAAGCAAACGTGTTTGTCTACTTCGGGCTTACAGTCAATCACATGTACCACCAATTTTTCAATAAGCAGTCAATGGCACATTAATTCTGTTTATCGTTAGAGGACCACTAAAAGTCCGCTATTGATTAATGAGAATGAGTTGCTAGAAGTATTGTAATTACTTATCATAATTTGATCGAAACTACTGTAGAGAAGTGCATAAAGGTTAAACAAGTATTATTACTTGAGTAGTGATACAAGATGAATTATTTTCGACAACTTATCGATGACTAAAGAGCATATCAAACGAAGCTGAATCTGTCTTAGAAAGAAGTATGCTATATAGGGGAAAATCGTCACTCACAAAGAAAAACTAAGATCAAATGGCGAGAAAAAAGTTTGATATTTCAGCACATATCTTCCGTAGTAGTCACAAGTATTTATGAGACTAAATGGATTTGTTCTTACATTATGTGAGCTATTTTCATTGATGACCCATTTAAGCAGTATCTTTATTTATAGCACAATTGTTTGTGAAACAGTCTGGATAAAAAGTTCACCGAAAATAATTCTTTTTAATTCTAATTCCAAATATCATGTTCACTTTTAGACTAAAAAGTGTAAACTTAAACTCACTAAGTCACCACTAACTGAAAGAGAGAAGAACTCAAGGTAAACTGCCCCAGTAATCGTGATTGAGACTGAAATATTAGGAACTGCTTGAGTAGCTAATATGGTGATGAGCAGATAGTCACATTCTGGGCGACCTGGGCTAAATTAAAGTCTGATTAGTGTTTGGATTTCTTAACTCACTTATGTGGTGTGAAGTTAACAGCCCGTTTGGTATAGCTGCAGATACTTTTGCAACATACGGTATTTGTCTTAACTTCAGTCATCTTTTCGCTGCATGAAAATTCTCCCGTTAAACTAAGCCCAATAGTCTGAGAGAAAACCAACTCTATCATATAAATTCTTGTTAAACAAAGATTTTTAATCTTTCACATTTTCTGTGAAGCAGCATCTCAGTTTATTCAAAGGTTTGAAGCAGATACAGCAACAGAGAGAAATTATCACACTGATCATTCACTGCGTTCGGAATGGAAGATGGCGCTACAGTTGTACATTTCCATTGTAATCAGTCTCCTCAGAGTGTATGTCCAACCAGTTTCCATTTTCTTCAGTAAATTTGTTGGATAACAGGTCCTTCGTGATTGACTACCTGCCACAGCTTTTTGCTGCTTGTCTTGAACAGTTTTCTGATTTTCAGTATCAGGTGAAAGCAGCTTTTGATGGGAGTTTGTAGCCTGCTACCAGTGCTTTTAGTGGCCAGAGTACCAAGTCGATGAACTATATATTAGCAGTACTAATTCGACTTTTCGCCCGCAAATTTTGAATCTTGTTCTGTACACTAAGTTCTGTGGATTTCCATACTATTATCAAAGGTAGTGAATATCTGCCGCGCCTTCTAAATCCTGATTTTTGACATCCTTATCTGTATTGTCTGCAGCTGCCACGGTGTTAGTAAGATGAGTGAAAGAGATTACTTCCTTTAAATTTCTTCTGTTGACGGTGATTGGTGCTTATTTTTGTTGGTTAGGAATTTTCATCAACTGTGTCCTTGCTATGCCCACCTGAAATCCTACTTTGTTTGTGAATCTTTGAGTTTATATGACATGACGTATTGATTATCTGCTAAGTTTAAGTCAACTTGAGTCTTAGCAGTGGAGGAAGAAACTTTGAAATTCCCATAATGGACATCTTGCTTAACGGCTTTAAAAGTATGGTAAAGCACGCTTAAGTGAGCAATGGGTCAGAAAGTGCATGCTATTAACAGATAATATCTACGAAAAGCTTTTTTTTTACTAACCTTAAGATAGCCATCACTGGCAATCAATAAGTTCTCAGGTTTTAAATCTCTGTAGATTAAGTCAAATGAATGTAGATATTCAAATGCCAATACAACTTGACTCGCGTAAAATCGTGAATCGTCTTCACTACAAAAAAACAAACAAACGATGACACAATGAAAATTACATCAGTATTAAAATATTTTCTGATATTTTATCAGATAACATGAACAATTTATAGTGAAACATTATTTTATTAATATATAACTCTCTGAGTGGGACTTCCAAGGGTGACATGGAGGATATTGTGTGGAGAAGAGTTGAAACAGTATGGACTAACATGGATGCAAGTGAAAAGTACAGCAGGAGACAGAAGCAAGTGGAGAAGTGTAGTTGAAGCCCTATGTTCCACTAGGAACCCAAGGGAACAATAATAATAATAGTGCAATCCAGGACGCAGATTTTCTTACACCAGGAACTCATTAGCTGGATGTCCGTAAATTCCCAGTGAGTGATAGTAATTCCACTACTACTCGAACTCACTACTAAAATTTGGGAACTTAAAACAGTTATCTACTGGGCCAGAAGAGCTTGCTCTTGGTATTTTCCCTCCAATAAAGTTTAATCAGCGGGAAATTCAAAACAATTAAATTAAAAGGATGAAATCTAGCCATTGCGAAAGGGTTAGGACGAAACAGCTGTCCAGTACTGCCAGGTTTTCCAGTGGTTCTGTAACTGATGTCAGCTTATGATGAAATCCTCCATGGAATCAAAGAGGTAGCTGTCATAACCCACTGAATAACAGTTTGAAGATTCAAATGATCAGTGGTATTTTCGAGTCATAGTGAGAACACTATCACTCAGTGAAGATTCAAGCGCATCCAGATGACGAGTTCACATGAGAGAAAATAAATTTCTTGGATTCAACCGCCAGACACCAGCTACCAAGAAATATATTTGATCACTAGCTGACATCAGCTACTGAACCGTTTGAAGACCCAGTGGGGTATTGACTAGACAGCTATTTAGTCCTAATTTGGACCAAGGACCTCCCGGTCACAAGACAGGCTTCTGAAACCCGATCCACTTGTTCGAGAAATTCAACTTCTGCCGTTTCACGATTTTTGCAGTGTGATCACCAGTCCTTGTCATGAGCGAATAACCATCCTTTTGTCAGGCTCTGCCGGACTCAGATGGTAACATTTCTAGCCACAACTCCACGTAAGCTGTTGTATACAGCCAGTAACTAGTGAGCATCAGATTACTTTCAAATGTTGATTTACTGGTATCTGATTGGTTACAAGTGTGATCATGATCAGACATGAATTAGGGAACCGTTAGAAAACTAGAGAGTCCCTGAAAGATGAGACTGGATTCCGTCGATCATTGCATCGGCTCCCATCAGCCGAATGGCCTACGAGCTTACGTTGCGGCCGGAAGGTCATGGGTTCAAACCGAACGGGGCGCGTGTTGCTGAAGAGTTCCAAACTAGTGGAAGCAGCTTTCCAGTCAGTACTTCCTAATCTCCTAATGGTTCTCTGAAACTGATGTCAGCTAGAGATCAAGCTTGCAACCAATCAAATCAAGTACCGCCTCAAAATTCAAAGTAATATCTTGGACTGACACTTTTAAACTTTGATCCACTAATATTTATCTCAATTTCTTTTGATTATCTTCGTTTTTATAACTACCACTTGAGTGTAATCCTCGTATTCATAAATGAATGAAATTGGATGATTCATAACCTATTTAAGCAATGCAATGAAAGGAACTGCTTTTTCAACTAGTTGATAACAAGTATTTTCATGGTTTCACCCGAAAACGTGTCCACTTACCTGAATTTTCCAACTCTTCTTAGATATGAAAACATTTCCCCGCCACTAACAAATTCAAGCACCATGTATAAATTGGAATTATCCTTTGAAGTAACAAAATTTTAGAAGAAAGAAAACACATTTTATTCAGACAGAGAATTCAATGGTAAATCTCACAAAAGAAAATCAGCTAGTTATCCGAGGAGAATAAATATTTCGCTAAGTTTACGTGTTGCTTAGTCACCTCCATATACACTATTTACAGCCTACTGACCACCAGGTGGTGCGTGAATTACTCTTCAGCCACAGTGGTCAAAGTTCAACAGATAGTATAACGGGAATTCACGACATAATGCAAAAATCATCCATTGGTATAAGTCACTTACTGTCTTCACATAGTATTTAACTTGTTGAAGCCAGTGTTTGGTGAAAAACATACTGTTATCGCATGTATTTCGAGTTCCAATCCTACTCCGTCTGCTTCGGATTGGGAAACTGGATAGCATCATCAGCCCTCACACCAAATATGTGTGATATATACACGTTCACATGAAGATGTCTAATCAAGGTTTTCTGATTTCTAACAATATTCAGATAGCAAGATAGTATAAACAGATTGACATATAAGCTAATGTTGTACTAACTAATTCCTGAGTTGTATTTGTGAGAGTAGTCCAATTTATATATATACGCATAAGTTATTGATTAATAGTGACCTTTAAAATACCAGCAAGATAGACGTATTCAGTCAGTTTTTTTCTCTACCTGGCGCTATAAGCGGTCTACTGTCATCAGATTATATTCATTCAGCATCAGTCCGAGCAGAAGGTTAATGAATTTTGAAATGAAAATGGGAATTTAAATGGGATTATATATATAGTCCTTCATACTACTTATTACATGTTTCACAGGTTCAATGGCAGACGTGGTTCGGATTTGATTCCAAGCCCACGCACTCCTAAACCTCACTCAGCCGGTAGTAAACCAGGTGAAGAGGGAAGGCTGGGCTTGAGGCAAGCAACCACATGCCACAAAAACAACACCAGAACACAAACTGCAGAAAAGCTTGAAGACCTTTGTTCCACTTGGAGCGCAAAGAAATGAAAGCACTACTTGATATAGCAAAAAGAAATCAGGAATTCTTTTAGTAGTGCAATGTCTTTAAAATGAATTATTCTATCATCCTGTCCTAAACTTGGGTGCAAATAACGTATTACAACTCAGGTAAACTACCCGCCAGATGGCCCTAACAACCAATCATATTCTTCTTTGCGAGATAAGTATAATACATACCGATGAAAATAGAGCTTACTCTCAGCTATCTTCTGTGGATTATGTGTATCATAAAACGAACGGTTCATTCCATTTCGTAGATCTCTTTGATGGGACTCACGTAAACTGATTTTTTTATTTTTAATTGTGATAACAATTCTTTTAAACAACTACTATCTTTTCTTTCTGCGACAATTATGGTTGGTAGTTCGAAGTCACCAGGTCATAAATGATCTTGTACGCCTGAGAGTGAGTGACATGTTCAGGTCGCTGGTAACTATTAGGATTCAGCTCCTATGGCTGCTCTGTTGCCTTTGTGGGTCAGATTAGAAATCAAAAGATGGAGAAGTGGTTTTAGTCTAGAGTGTCTGGAAAGTGTCTCATCCCCCACAGAAAGTATGATGCATCTTCTGGTGTCCACAAAGTATGAAGTTTGTGCTCAAATAATTCAGTAAATAAAATGAATATTACTGTCTACTGTAACATATATTACCTACAGCTACTCAAATAAGAGCCAATGTGGTAAAGAGGGAAGACATACTCACTTTAAAGCTGAAATCCATTCGAACAAGAAATGGAAAATTGATTGCCTGTAAAATCTTCTTTTCATTCAATGTATGTTCAATCTGTTTTAATTTGACAACCTTAAACAAATATAAGAAAAATAATTAAAACAAAATAAATCTGTCCATAGAAAAAGTCACATGATGCTGCATATATTGTTCTACTTCTATGACTAAACACTAGTCCATTACTATTCAAGCCATTTATTTTAAAAATCAGGAAACTCAACAACAAGTTGGTTTGACTGTTAGTTCAAGTATGTTACTATTATGACATTCATAGTATTGTGGTTAACATTCTCGTGTGAAGAGTTATATCTAAAAAAAATAATAAGCTTACCATATGAAAGGGATTCATTCTTAAAGAAACCACTAAAGACTTACTTCAAGTAGGATAAAATCTCTATATTCCAGCAATCAGTCTACTTTGTGTTAATTTGAAGTGAATATTTCACAGATTTTCACAGCTCATTTTAATTGCGCAAAAATTGAAACCTAATTTGCTCCTTATCAAAGAAAAGATGAATGAATGCCTCAGGTGACAGAGTTACTTAACTGACGGTGACAAACACTGGGATCCTGATTGTGGGTTTCGTCTCCTCCTAGAATCTTTAGTAGATGTATCTGCATCCTCAATGAGTGTTGCTCTTCCCACCATGCCGGAACCCAGAATCCATTGTGCCGAACATCAAGGCGTTGTCTCCTGGGTAGTTGGGTCATGAGAACCATCTCTCATGCAGCAGGTATCGGATGATTTTGTGATTTTTCTAATATTTCTCATCGATTCATCAAAATGGAGTGGAATGTTCAATCTCTGGTGACAAACAAGCAACATTATGTTTATCTTAATGAATCGCCAAAGTGTTTGTGTCAGGTGTCGACATATCAAGAGAGACCGGAAATTTCAATCCAATACAAGAGTTAAACTAACAATAAATATCAAATAACACAGAACAGAGTTGCCATTCAGTTTAAATGTGCTCTCAATTGTTATCATTAGTTGATGAGACCTGATAAGTTGCATGCTTAAAATGTAACCTTCTAGCCCAAATACACAATTCTAGGATAACACAAATTTTTGTTTAGTTGTAATGGTAGAAGATGAGAGATTTGATGAGTATCGATTACTTGGAATCTGGTATCTGTATATAGTGAAGTTATGTACACCTTATCTTTAAATCACCATTTGCACAGATTTTCCATGTTGTGCTACTTCTTGCCTTCATATTGATATGATTATGAGCAATAGTTTGTGCTCGAAACGTTGCCATCGGTTAATATTACTGTATAACACTGTGTGATTTATCAAAATAAAATCTTATCCATTATGGAACCTTTTCTAATGACTTCACGCTATCATACAGCTGATCTATGAGACCCTACCCTTGAGCAAATAGTCACTTCACAGCAATTATCACGGGTAACACCTAGTTATGTTGAATTAGAACGACAGAGTAAGGCTGTTAATAGTTAATCTGATTAACAGTGAAGATACCTAACCAACATAAAAGCCAGAAATCACTATCATCAGGAGAAATATGAATGAATTCGCTTTTATCACTTATGCGTCGTTTTAACTATGGGCATTAAGAACCAAGATTCTAAAGTCAGGATATGAAAAGCAAGACAGACCTTCATGGTTCTGAAATCACCGCGGAAATCTCAGCATAAGGAATACGGTTCGGACTGCCGTCACTAGTGTCAAGTTAGTCAGTCCTTTTACATGGTTCAGAGAGTCACGAAAACATTTCCAAAAGGTTTCAGACTGCCATCAACAGATGCGCTCACTCCATTATGAAGATCAGATGGTAAGAAAGGATTGGCAACATCGAAATCAGAGAATAAACCAGCCAAGGAATCACAGTTCAAAAGATAAGCTAAAACAAATTGAGATGGACCAAATTGAGGGGACTGTCGAGTGAAATCATACATCAGGCATGTCCTCAGGTGGAACCGAACGGGAAACGAAGAGGTAGGCATGGAGCCGAATGTGACAAACATACGATTATAAAGGGAGCAGGCGGAAGCTCAAGAACAATCTTGAAGCCAGCTAAAGATGACTCCAGAGAACAGAATGAAATGAAGATATGCTGCTGAAGCCATATGTTCCCCTCGGAACATAAGGGAATGATAATAATCTGATCACTGTAAAGTTTCACTCTGTTATCGTTCAAAAAATCTCCGACTAACAGTTCGTTTCGAGAAACGTTGTTTTAGCCCTTTGAGTGCTGTTTTATTTACTGAAACAATAATAATAATAATTTGCTTTATTCCAAAACAGTACTTGTGATACAGAATGGAATTCTCAGCATTTTTTTACTACAGTATTGCATCCAGTTTGTACATTATCAATAAATAGAATTCTACATAGATTGAGGAAACCGCAGTTCATTATTACAACAATACATTGGCATGTCAGTAGCAAAGGTAAAGCTGAAACAGTGTTTGAAGGTGTTAGAAAAGTGGGAGCTGTCTTATTAACTGGCGTAAGCGAGAGAAAGAGACAAAGCAGCACATAACGGAAAAAGAAGAGAGAGAAAAGGAACAGAAAGAAAGAAAATGTTGTACCTATTGGTGAAGTGGGTTGGAAAGATGAGATCCAGCTGTACTACTGACTATTTAATGAATTATAGGTGTCACGCCTGATGCTTTCTTTATCACACAGAACACGAGCTAAGTAGGGTATGGTTGAGTTTTTGTATTTGCTGGTGCGAGCATATAGTTTTCTATATTGGCTTCTTGTTTTACCTGATGAGATGCAAGGGGAGAGTTGTGAGTGAAGAGGGTGGTGTGAGTTAGATAAGATGGATTTGGCCCATTTTTCACATGAGTCCATGTGCCTGTCAACCAAAATATTTTATCAGTAATTAGAACTGTAAATATCAAGACTGACTGATTATCTTAAAATTATTAAAAACAATTCCAGCGTGTTTTAAAAATCACAAATAAGACTTTGAACTGCATAAATCATCGCTTGCTTAAAAAAATTACACGAATTTCACTAAACACCAAAATATACATGATCAAATAGTACGTAAAATAAAGTGAGCTTGGATCAAAGATCACTTGTGTAGGTGAATAATTATGGTTTTGGTATACGACATGTGCTTAGGCTAGTCAATCAAGCTCTCTCAAGTTTTCTATTTATATTCAATCCGACTCGACACTGTTTGCTTAACTGTATATCATTATCTTGACACTTACAATTCACGTGTTGACTTTATCCACACATTACACATCTTTCTTCTTCCTCTTCTTTCACCTCTAATCTTAATGATTCTCTTTGTGGTTGTGTGTACATTGACAATGTGTCGTTTTACGATGTGATTTTGTTTGAGTGAATGAGTGAGTGAAGGTTGTTTGTGACATTGTACTGCATTTGAGAAGCGTTGGTGCGTCATTCACAATGGACAGAGTATCTGACCCCACTCTGTTAGTAGTATAGTATAGTATTGTACACTCTGGCGAGTATTTACAATACTTACAACCTGCTGATTTACAAATTTCCGCTAAGCATATGAAAAAGCATTATCCTCAATGGCAGTTTATCCCAATACATGCGAACTGTTCCTGAGTGGAGTCCTTGGCTCACAAACTGTGCTCCTGAACGTTTCGTAATTGGTATTCAACAAACTGTGGTGTATTTCTCGAAGGAGAAAAAGAGGGGCTATCATAACAGATTCGTCCGCTCTTCGGGAAAGATAGAACTGTGTCACGCGATATACAGTCAATTATTCTTTTATTTGAAGATCCCGAATGAACAGAAGATATCATGTAATAAACTCTGCTGAAAATTCTCTACATTATGTACACGCTTTTCAGAATAAATCTATTATTATTAGTGGAACCTCAGAATTATTCCAGAGTAATCGTCTTTTTACTGTCATTGAAAAGTTTCTTGATTGTACGTGTTTTATCGGAGTTTTGCCGGCAATAAAGTATAACGCAAAAATTGGTTTCCTCCATCGAAAAAAAACAACCTCGGTTTTGATCACTACAAAGCCTTCAAAAAGTCAAAGAGATACAAAACGTTGTGTGATCGGGTGATAAATACAGAACGCAGCCTTTCTACGATTACAGGTTTATGCCATGCAAATATGGGGTAAATATATTTATAGGTATGTAACATACATTCTAATTATTTTAAAAGAATTAATTGACGCTTTTTCTTCCTTTAACTTCCCAACAGTAGGATCTTTTTTCATTCATACACTTAGTTTGTGTTAAAACAAACTATACACTGTGGAAAACCAAATTTGTTTTGTGATAAGAATCACAACTTCTTTTAAAGTAGACTGGGGCCTTAGGAGCAAATAAATAAGTATGAAGAAATTTACTTTGAACTCAACAACAGCAAATTATTAGCATGACAAATGTCTGGAGGTGAAAACACAAACCCAAGGAAGTATAACATTAATTATAGAAAAGAAAATACTTATTATACGATCAAAGGAAGAAATGTTAAAAAGTGGAATAGTCAGTTAATTTTTTTGTCTAAGGCATAGAAAAAAATGAACAGTCATGGGATTGTCAGACGTTAAAAACTAAACAATGTACTTTATGCTTAATAATTAACAAAAACTAATGTTTTCTAAAGGGATGAAACATAATCAGTGAAATGGCAGATCATGTGATGAATATTACGAATAACCAGAATATATTTAAGGAAAGTTTATGGAATGGCAAAATAACTAGTGATAAAAATAATAATACTGGTGGTAATTGAAAGTAAGATTATCTGATGCAGTCTGAGGTTTGGAAATGAATCTTCAACTCATGGCTGAACATTCGGGCATTGGTTATAATGACTGAAGTGCAGTGATGATCTGGTTAACCGTTGAGTTTCGTAAGTCAGCTGGAATAGTAATTCGGTGGTTGTGGGTTCGAATCCTGCGGTTATCCAGATTTTTATTTCGCTGTCGATTATAACCCATGACATCAATTGTAACGGGATATTAGTTTGGCAAACCAAATACTGATACTCATTTGGATAGTTCAATTAACTTTGTATGTATGATGCTTTTTCTCTTAGACTGTATATCAATTCTGTGACGTTTTCATATCATCTCTTGATTCAGTCCTTATTATTTGTCTTCGTTCTTGTTTAATCTCTAATTTCAATGCGTCTTTTTTGTGATTATCTGATGATAATGATAGTGTGTTGTTTTACGACTGCTATTCGCTTGAGTGAGTCAGGGTCATTCTGACCTCTGGACGTGTGCAGGAATGATTCGCTGCGTGATTCTCGCTGAGGGAATTTTGATTCCACTCAGTCGGGAACATTCTGCTTGATTCTGAGGTACTTTTTATGGTTGATTTCGTTCAAATAATTTTGTTCTACAGTACTTGCCTTGTAGCTGAGGGTTAATTTCATCTATATAGCTGCCTAATGGAATTGTTGATGTAATTTTGACTATTATTGTTAAATAGCACCAGAGATTTTATTACAAATTACTCTCTTTTCGCTGTTGTTGGAGCATTCTGTTACTGTGAGTAGCTCAAGGAAGTTTTGGTCAGCTGTGCAGTATAACGCAAAGATCGATTGCCTGCGTTCAGACCACAGCACATCAGTTTTGGCTGCTACATCAGTAACAGTCTACCTAACCAAGACTATCTCAGACAGTTCTATCATCAAATACTATTAATAATATTAGCAGTAGTACCATAGTACTGTTATTATTTTCATCCATACTACAAGTTATTTAGCCATTCCTTAAATTTACATTATACGTATTCTGGTTATCTGTAGCATTCATCGTATGATCTCCTATTTTATTGATTGTGGTTCGACCTTTAAAACTTCTGATTCTGTTATAGTTATTGATCACTAAGTAAGTTCAGTGCAGTTTTCAATGTTTGATTTTTCTCGCGACTGTCAAGTTTTTTATGCATTTGAATAATAGCTTCTCTTTTGGACAAAAAATAACCAATCTGACTGCCATTCCATCTATTAACACTTCTTCTGTGGAGCGCCTACCAAGATTTTTGTTTCTATAGCATTATTGTTCGGTTAGTGTTTTGCACCTCCAAACATTTGTCAAGGTATAACATGGTTGTTGAGTCTAAAAATAAACTTTTTAAAAATTATTTATTTATTCAAAAGGCTTAATTCACGTTAAAAGAATTTAATTATTCAGTGGGAAGTAGGAATTCGCAGTAAAAATAAAGGAACTTGCCTTCAATATCTCAGATTTTTTTCCAACAAAATTTGAGTAAATGAATGATAAAAGAAACTTTTATTGAAAGATTAAAGGAACATAAAATATCAAACGATTCATTTGAAATTACTACAATGTTTATTCCGAATCCGTAGTTTTGTCTTATATTTGACTGACATTACGCTGTATTCTTAACAAGACCTACATTTCACAGATATCGCGAACCCCTGGTGAATTATACAAGGCACGTTTCGTCAGATGAATATACCTACTGCCTGTTGATTGATTATATTCCCATACACTTACCATTTCGAAAGTCACAGTGTTGCCTACTAGGTCTGAAGTGCTATCATTTCAATATGATTTGGAAAAATTTATTCAGTTTGCTGATTTCCGTCTGATCAGCCACAATTTAGGTATACGGTCTCCTTGAACGGATGCCTGGATATTACCAATTTTAATAACCCAAAGTTTGTGGGTGGCTGTCAGTGGTATTATTATTATTTACTTGTGTTAGGAGTGGAATATAGGGCTTTAAAAGCATTTTGGATTCCACTCGAAGGTAGGCCTAGTGCGTGACATCACTCAGCACTCGTCTCAGAATGCCTCCGATTTATCTCCATTCCCCCTGAAATATTTGTTGGACAACATGTTCGTGGTTGATTTGATGCCTAATTTCCCTGTTGATAATCCTCTTTGGCAGTCTCATCTTCATTATGTAGCGAAAGCGAGGATTGTTGAATAGTGTCTTCAGTAGCCAGTTTGAAATGCTTCTTGTGACGCGCACACCAAATACAGCCATAAATATCATAGTCCTATCGGAGTGATTCACGGCCGTAAACAAGTAACTTTGTAGTTATAAATCCTGGATATGTAGTGACATCAATTTAAGGAGCCCACGCGTCGAAATGTGACTTATGAAATCGACACTAACAAATCAACGGAAAATCACGGGCGTGAATAAACAGGAAAACCACTTGTATATTTTCTAACTAAAAATTTTTTGGAAAAGTACACTTTGTATTGACTCAGTTTTCTCTGTGATTATCTACTCTCGTGGCTGTAAATTGAAAACAACAATCATTCTCATGTGTACAGCCTTCATAACTGTAATTTCCTTATTTGGTACCATAGCAATAGATTGGTCTGAGACAAACATGGTGTTATGAATAGATAATGAATGCTTTGAAAAAGATGATATAACAGTTTCGCATTAAATAAGTTTCTTGAAATAACAAACAGTGATAAAGTGTTAACAACTGGATGACGTTTCAAGTGCAATTTATAGCTTATAATCGTGTGATGGTATTCTCACAACCTCCTAAATGGCTTTACACAACCTCATTCCCACTTGTTTCTTATAGCATTTTTCCGTATATTAGGAATGTATTTTGTATTTTATTTGGTGTTGACTCAATGAACAACGATTCGTTGATTAACCTGTCTTACCACTTAACTAATTATCAAATCTTTATTCACCTAGTTAACAACAAATACACGTAGTCTAAATGAAACAACACCTATCCTGAATATTTGGAAAATTGCAGTAACAAAAAAGCCAGGAGTGAGGCTATGTAAAGCCAGTTAGGAAGTCGGGTGAAGATATTGATTTCCTCTGGTCATTAACACTGTATCACTCTGCACTGTCTCAAATAAACTTATAAAATATAGAATTTTATTCCATCACAGTGCCTAAATTCTATACTAATATTAATACTGTAATAATTTTATAAATCGTCTCCGAAATATTTATGATCAAAAAAAAAATGGAGGTACAACCAACATACGAAATGTAAATGCGTACCTTTTGTTTTTCTAAAATCTTCATTGCATAATAGATTTGCGTCTTTTTATCCTTGACTAACATTACACGTCCAAATGATCCTGTACCCAATGTTTTTAAACGATCAAATTGATTCAGTGTTGCGTTATTCTTGAAAACAATCCCACCCAGCACAAAATGGTTGACGAATGTAAGGGGAAGAGAAACAGCGTAGGTACAATAATGGTATTAAAACAATATTTAGTAATAGAAAGAGCTTTATTTTTAAAGAATCAGGTAACATTAAATACTAAATGTTACACAGTTCGTAACTGCCTCGTTTTATTATAGCTATCAGCCACCAGTGATATTGGTTAGCGGTAGCAATAAACATCGCGAATTAGCAGAATTTAGAGTTCTGTCCAAGAGACTAAATGGTAGGTGGACTCGCTCTGCAACCAAAACGTTTGAGGTTCTACCAGCAGTGGGGTCGTGGTTACATACTGGTGAATATTCACAAACTAGGACGAAACAGTTGCCCATCACTCCCTAGTTTTCTATGGCTCTGCAACTGATATCAATCTGCGATCAAAACTTGGAATCAGTCGAATCTCCGCAAATCACTGAAATTACCGCCTCTAGTCTGTTCTTTTCAGCAAACTTTAGGGACAAAATCACAATATAAGAAGATATATATATATATATGATTTTCACATCAGAAAAAAAAAACATTTGTAAAAAATTAGGATAATATCCACTTATTTAGAAGTCTGAAGTCACTGAATCTATCTCAAACAATTCATCTAGTTAAAATTGTCCGGAATCTTTTTATTTTAAGTCTAGAACAACAACGACAGCTTGGCAGTTAAACCATTTAGCTCAGAGAATACAAAAAGGACAATACAAAACGTCCACTTACTCAACAAATATTCTTCATTATTTTTATGTATACATGATTTTAAAGCTATATATTTATCTTGTAACATCAAGTGACAAAATCAGTGAAAATCGGATTACTTTTGGCATTTTAGAACCTTATAGTTGGGTCAATAATATATGAATATTGATTGCAAATTTATGTATGTGGGTATATATGTTGGTGTCCTGCATAAGATTTTTTCTCATTCCTTTAAGTTCCAAGTGGAGCACAGTGCTTCAAGCATGGGCTTTGAAGTTTCAGGAGAAGTGGTGTTGAGGTTGCCTACCTCACGCCCAACCTTCCCCCTTTGTCATGCTTACAACTGACTGAGGGAGGTAAAAGTTTCCACCACCCGAGGGTCGAACCCCGGACCACGCGTATGGCTGGCAAGCACCCTGCCGCTGAATCACTGACAACCCTAGACCCGTTTAATTTAAATTTATAGGTTTGTATGATGGAGAATGAAAATACACTCATTTATTCATGATTTGATCGATTTTAAGGATGGATTCTGTGACAAACAGATATTTGTCTGGACATATCTTTGAAACTGATAGAAAAACGAAGCAACTACCTTGTTCTAAATATGATTAATGAAGCAAACAAGTCGAATCTAATATCTAGTAGCAGTGTAGTAACTGTCTAACTGTCTACATTCATTTGAAATAACTAAGGATCGTTAGCAGATTTAGTGATATTATATATATATATATGTTTAGGTCAATAAAAATCTAGAATATACTGAATATCCATTACCTATTTCCCTTACCTAATTGTTCTATGGATCATCATTATTATCGCCATCACATGTCTTCTCATCATATCTAATTGATCTGTAGTTTAACCTTAAATACCATATGAATAGATACATTTATATATGTATATAAGTAAATGTATATAGGTTTATTGATTTAAGATGGGTAATATGACATCTATAGAATTTTGTGCTAAATACTTAGTATGATCAGTGTTAAGTGGAAAAGAGACGGCACCTGTTTTTGTCCTTATACAAACAGCAGAGTAAGTTCTGTTTATTAATGGATAGATGCACTTCAGTTGTATACCTTTAGAAGCCACAAAACACCGATTTTAATAGTAATGTACTACTACTACTAGTAATAGTAAAAGTAGTAGTACCTATATTCCATATTCGGTTCGTAAGTTGCTATTTTTTGGATTTTCATAACGGAAAACTTGGTTTGAGTGACATTTTTTGGTGTATTTTCTAAAAGAAATCGAGATTATAAGTCTGATAAAGATATATATATATACTTGTATACTACTGATAATCAGGTAGGTAGCCAATGAAATAAAATACAACGGTTACAGATTTGCATTTGTGATAATGTTGAATGACCATAGTAGGTGACGAGGGGGGGATGAGGAAACACCAGCATCATCACCTCATTTGTTTATATAATAAAATATTCCTTGTTTAACTGGTTTTATGTGTGTTGCTGGGAGCGAAATTCAAACAAACTGTCACGGTGATATGTATAAAAGACTTTTTAGTTACGCACTGTATAATATTGATTTGCACTATTTTTCATTTTGTACAATAAAATAGAAAATAAAGCGTGAAGAGATGCAGGTTAGTGGTTTAAGTGTGCTAAATATTTGACGACGAAATGGAAGTTTCATACAAGAGGGACAGATAGATGATGTCTTGAACTAGATGGAAAATTCGATGTATAACATGCTGGTAATTTACACATTTACCTTTTTTACTTTTTTCTTCAGATTTGATTTTCAAGTACATTAAAAGAACTGGTTTGTCAGTTCTTTGGTAGAGCATAATTTTGTAAATTCCATCAAATGAAGAAGAAGAAGAAATCAACACACTGTAAAACCTTATTTTCCATAATATCCGATATTGTGCTTTTAAACAGAAAAAGACTGAAGACAGCAAAGTGATTTACCTGTAGCATTACAATTTACAATGATTTAAGACAAAATATCAGTAACATTGCATTGATTCAGTTATCTGCGAATTGTACTTTGAGATTATTCTCCGTTATTTTCGGTTAGGCAAGAATGTCCGATCTTTTCTAAAATGTTGAATCCTTGTTCGAACACTTCAACTATACCTTCGGATTAACATAATATTAGCAGTGGAATTCAGGATTTGCATTTCGTTTTTTTCGGGACTTGTCATCTGGACTTATGCGCAATCCTAGTGCGTGATGCTGTTTCCACTGAAATTCAAACCAATCCATTTAGAGGTAAAACGGCGTGGTTATACCGTAGCTATTATAAACCAGGATGTTAACATACGCTGTGAGCCATGTGGCCCAGTGGATAACGTTTTTGCAGCTTGCAGCTGTAGGTGCCGTGTCGATACTTCAAAAAGAGAAAACGATCATTCATTGGAGATGGAGGTACATGCAACCGATACGTTTGAAACAAGACGAAATGTTATCCTGTATTCTACTGCTAACTTCAAAAAATAACTGAATGAAATACTTATCTTAGTTTGATGTTAAATTAAAATCAAACCAAATTCATGTTCACATGCAGAATATGTAGTCAATCTTTGCTTAGCGAAACTAACATTTTTATCAGGTGTTAATTTGCAGGAATTTGATTAGTTTTACGTCTCATCACAAGCTAACATCAGTTAGGGAACGATTGGAAAACCAGAGAGTAACGACTGGACACCTGTTTCGTCCTACTTGTAACCCAGAAAATCCCGTTCACAAGGCACACTCGTAGACCACTCAGCCACTGTGACCCGATCCACTTGTCTAAGAAATCCAACTTCTGACGATTCGTGACATATATAGCGCTACTCACAGTCAATGTAATGGGCGAGTAACTTTATTCTTGCCAGATTTGTTGTGCCCCGTTGGTTAAGACTTCTCTCTAAAACTCCAGGAAATTGCCTGAATAGAGTCAGTCAATAGTGAATATCAGATGAATTACCAAGTGTGAATTTGATTGGTCACAGAGGTCCATGCATACAGGTAAGACACCAACTACCCACTTATGATATTGGCTGGAGGAAGTTGGAATTCATGAGTCACTTAATTGTGTGGCAGCAACTGAATAGTCTACGAGTTTACCTTGTAACTAGAAGGTCCTTGGTTGGAGCCTAGTTGGTGTACACAGCTGGAGTGTCCTAAACTACGACAAAACACCTATCCAGTAATTCCAAATTTCACAGTGCTTCTCTAACTGATGTCAACTCATGTTCAAACCTGTAAATACCGTTTGAAGTACAATTTCCTGAAACATGCATGAATTATACACATATATTTGTTTACAGAATAGTGGAGAATGTAAACAAGAAATATGTTAATAAAACAACTCTTCCGTCTGCCACAATAGATCAAAAATCATAAAATGTAGAGAGTGACTTTAAACGAAGGCGGATTTATTTCTGACTCTTTTGAAATAACCAACTCACTTGTACTGGATGTGTCCATTTTTCTTCGAATATTCGTGATTCTTTTTCAAGGTAATCACTGACTACAAAAAGAAGGAAATCAAAGAGTAAAGAAATAACTGAATGTAGAGAGTTTTAGTTTATTATTATTATTATTATATTAGTTACTACAATTGATTTTAAAAATCTTTTTGTTATAAAGAAAGCATATGTAGTGATCAAAACTTATTCTACATGGTCTGAACACGAAAAAAAGCGATCTCTGAGTTTCGCCGTATAGCTAGCTGGCTGAACTTTCTTGAAACACGTGCAACCAATAAATGTTTTAAAGATAAGAAAAAGACGATTACTCTGGAATAGTTCTGCGGTCCCACTATTCCATAATAACATCGAAAAAAACAACAACTCAAAATCATGTCAGGAGTATGGTTAGCCAGCTATACAGTCAGTCTGAGTACAAGTAGAATGTTCCTTACAGGGTGAGGTCAGATACTCTGTCCATTGTGAATGACGCACCAACGCTTCTCAAATGCAGTACAATGTCACAAACGACCTTCACTCACTCATTCACTCAAACAAAATCACGTCGTAAAACGACACATTGTCAATGTACACACAACCACAAAGAGAAGCATTGAGATTAGAGGTTGAAGAAGAAGAAGAAGAAAGATGTGTAATGTGTGGATAAAATCAACATGTGAATTGTAAGTGTCAAGATAATGCTATACAGTTAATGGGAATGAGGAATAATAATTGCAGAGTTAGTTGAAGCGTCTATATAAGTACAAATACTGCGAATTGATCAACCAATTTCCGAATAACCACTGTGTTGCAACCCAACCACGTATGACTTTTAATTCTGTATGTTTATAGTGAAGAGTAGTCACTGAACCTTAATCGGGGGTGAACACTAATAGTCATGATTTTTCCGTAAAATATTGATTTGAGGGATATTTCTTGCTAGGGATTTTTGCTAATTTTGGTGTAGCTTATGACACTAATTTAAGTGTGATAGGAAAGTTACCCTGAAATATTTTTAAACACATACTGAAGTCAAGTTTTGTTCATCATGACTCATCAAGTATGAATTTCAGAGTGTAGACCGATGGCTTACTTAGGAAGAATAATGGCTTCAGAGTCGTTTCTTAATATCTGCTGATATATATATATATATATATATATATATATATATACGAATTTACAGTTCAAAGGAGATACAGACACTGAATTACTGCCATCGAAACTCAAAAAATTAATGGCTTAAACATTTTTTGCTTCAACGCTGTGTTTAAAATTAGGCACTTCTTGTATAGTGCGGTTGAAGGATAAGCTGCCTACTCTGACAGCCTCAAAGCGCATTTATAAATTTAACTGTTGTTGTAGAGACAGTTACATAGATAGAACAGATCAGAATTGTCCAATGTAACTAAGTATCCTAAAGTCAGTCTGTATTTCCATATTGGCACACATAGTGGATAAAAATTCATCTTTTACAATTCTATATGAGGTGCCACCCCAATTCTCTAGGCTGGTACATCTTCAGTTACTAAGCTTAGCTTAGATGATCGCTATAAAACATTTACAGGCTAGTCTGTATTCAGAAAACGTCTGTCCAATCTCTATTTCTCCCTTGGCCTCCACCACCAACCTAGAATAGTTAGCTCACGCGGTGCCACTGGATAACTGCAATTATTATTATTACTGTTAACTTTATTATCAGTATCACACTGTGCTATAATTGCATAGTTTCGTCTCTGTTTCACACTTTACCATTATTTTCCTACTTTCATTCTCCTCGATGATATTTGATTCTATTTATCCACATTGTTTCATTTGTCTATGACTGATATCTTATTATGTAATTTTAAAGCCTGATGAGAATTTACAAAAAATACGTGTTCCGAAATTATCTTAATGGGAATTTTCACTCTGTATATGTATATGGCAGAGGAAATATATTCCTTCCCCATTGCTTCAGTTCATCATTGGTAAGTTAAATGTGGAAATGGGAATTTAAATGCACCTGAAGAAACATTATTCAACTGGAAATTGATAATATAATAGTGGTTTTGTACTCAAATACAAAATATTTCGAGTCATCAAATATAACATTGTACTCAGTTGTTGGTAGAGGGAAACCAAGGTACATTATTGTGAAGTCAACCACCTTGTTATTTATTGATGCGCCAGGCAAAAAGGCTCTACTTATGTGAGCGGGAGCTGCATTCTCAGTACTCTGTGGAGGTAGATAAGCTGCTGCTGCGGCAGTTATTCCAGCTAAGTTGCAGCCTACGGTTTTTAAGAATTGAATGGAATAGTGCAAGAAGACTCTGACAACTCTCCAGCGGTTGCGCCAGGTTTGGTTCTCAACTGGCGCAGTCCTAAACTTCGCTTAACCGGTGGTAAACCCAATAAAGAGGGAAAATTGGACGTGAAGCCAGCAGCCCCATCCTGTGAAAGTAACAGTACTGCTACTGAAACGTCAGAGCCGAAACGTGAAGCCCTGTGTTCCACTCGAGACACAAAGGAACTGAAAAAATATTGTCGCACTCAATAATTTTCACTCTCTCTCAGATATTAGTGAATTGTACCTATGACGTGACATGTATTCCTTCACATTAGTATGTATGAGGGCAACTGTGAACACTAATTTGACCAGGAAAATGTTAAAAATTTCAACAGTAAAAATACTAGAGAATTCCAAGATGCCTGGTACTCACAACAGTCTTCATTTAACAGACATGTTAGCATAAATCTTATTTTTTAATGAGTAACAGACAAGTCAAAAGTCAGTTAGACCAGTTATGACCTCAGAAAAAACGATGGATGCCAATACAAACCAGTACAAGTATAGAAAAGCCTGTGATGACAACCAACCCCAGTGAAAATCCTGGAGAATTTCTACATTAAACTCATTTCACAATGAATTGAAGATGCTGTTAAGAAGTAAAATGAAACCTTGGGACACAGAAACACCTAAAAAGACATAGAAAACATGCATCTTAGGCAGCTGAAGACAATCGGCAGGATGTTGTGATTGTTGACACTCAAAGATCTGAATCTGAGTTACACAGTTTTGGAGTCAGAGACGTTACCACTGGTTCAGAATTAGCATATTGTAAGACCGCAATGTATACATTAATTAGGGTGCAATCACTATCACGTTCCCAGTCCTATTTTGGTTCAGTACAATTGTACAACTGGGAAAATGAAATCGTCGCAAAGCGAAAATCTTTGTTATTGTATGTTAACGGACATAATGACGTTTAAGGTAAGATAAAAAAGAATGATTAAATGAGTGCAATAAATTGTACAACTGGGTAAACTTAGTGGAATAACAGAATAGGCTAATTCAGAAAACAACAGATGTCTCACTTGTGAATAATCAAGAGTGTATAGGCTTTATTTTGAAAGCTTTATTACCTAATAAAAAGAAGGGAAGTGGAGATAAAAACTTCGCCTCTTTTGTCAGTTTGTATGTATGTGTGTGCAATAAGTGGATCTTTAGAGGGAAGAATTAAATGTGCATAAAATGTAATGTACAGTATATCTTATCAACCAGATAGCTCAACTACTTTGAATAATTTACACGTTTCACCAGAGGGATAAGGACAGGAAGTGATAAACAGGATAGGAAGAGGGAAATAACAAGATCATAATAAGCGTGACTAGAAGGTAACGCAATGACATATTTGTGTTTAAATAAATAGGTAAAAATAAAATAAACAAATTGTTTACCTTATTTTTCAAATTCTAATTTGTATTTATGTTTGCAACATGTGGTGTGCAAGGGCACAAGTATGCAAAGATTACTTGGTTGATAGTAGCTGGTAGTGGAAGTCCTAGTGCAGACTCTTTATCTAGATTCACATGTATTGTTAGCTGAGTTATGATGTCTACAATGAGTGACGGGCCCAAGTCAATCAGCGAGGTGCCAGGCACACGAATAGTTGAAAATAGGACGAAACGTGCGTCCGGGATTCCGCAGCTAGCCACCACTAACCAAGTAACACCGTGTTAACTTTCAGATGTCATCAAGCCGCTCATACTAGGAGTTGACATACCAAGAGAAACTGAGCATTTCAGTTTAGTATGATCAGTCAATGGAAAGTTCAAAATAGTTTTGCGTGATGGCAGATTTACAGATTGAACTTTGAGTGGTGATCATGCTCTGAACAAGAGAAAGTAGAAGACAATTGATCTCCAGATTCCGATTGTTCCTCTGACTGACTGCTGATATATTCACTTTAAAACCTGCAGTTGCAGATAGGTTCATCTACAACAGGATAATTTCTTAGTACTTGTATAATGTCTTGGACTGAGGTGCTTCAGTTTTCAGTCATTATCTGTTTGATAATAATATCTAATGAAATAAATTATTATGAACGAGTGGAATTATTTAAGTCTTGTTTATCAGAATATATACATTTAATGTTCTAAATATGAATAAACTGGTGAACATCAAGCAGAGGTAACGTCCTCATTTTAATTACAATAAGGGACACTGAGGTATGTGGATGTTTATTGATACTGTGACTAAATTTACTCAAGTATTCGCATAAAGTTTTAAATCTTATAAATTTATTCTGGCAAGCTTTATAAACGACTGGCTTTATATGTTAAGTTAGTTAAGTACTGTCTAAGCGTTTAAGCTGGTATCTGATAAACTGCATAAAGCAATTAGGTGTGGAATACTGAGAACAAGTGAAGCCATTATGATTCGCTTCAAACAGTCGGGATTATATGTAAGCAAGATGAAAAAAATGTTTTGTCGTTATTACTACTCTAGCCTGTATTAGAATCTGTGTTATTTTAAACACCCTACTAGGTTATAAGGCTGAAGTTTGACTGTATATTTTCCACAATCAAATATTTTATTCAACCAGATTAAACTGACTCATCCCCTTTTAAATCCTCACTCTAGTAGGAATAAATATCTAAGTCGATGGTGAGGTTATCTTAGAAATTCTAGAATTGGAAGAATAATACTGATGTAGTCAGTGATGGCTGAGGGTGAATTGAAAATCTGGATGGTGGCCTCCGAATAAACAGTCCGGCATTCTACCAGCCAGCTGAGATGCAT